TAGGACAAAGAGAAACCCCAAAAGTGCTGGGACCTTGGAGGAACTAATTGCCCATACACACTTCTTGAAGCAAGGAATGGTGACCCTTGCCCCCTGCCTTCTAAACGCATCTACTCCCTCTACATGAGCCCCCCACAGGCCAGGGCTCATCTTTTCTTAGCTGATTACAACAATCACATTGATGATCTTCCTGCATTGGGTGTCTCCTCTTCCAATTTATCCCCCTGCTGCAGCCAGAGGGAAAGTTCTAAAATGCAGATCCAGCCAGAGATGGGAATGGACATGGCACATGAGGGACATAGGTAAGGAGACAGGTTGACCAGGGTGAAGGATTCAAGGTATAGAGCAATGGGGATAATCTGGAGAATTAGGGGGTCTTAAAAGTCGGATAGAAATAGGGCTTACTTGCGCATTAGGAAGCAGGAAGGCAACATTTATTCATTCTTAATAGGACAGTGAGAAAGGCATGTCTTGGGTAAGATAGTTTGACAGTGGTAGTCAGGATGGGTTCGACAGGTAGAAAGTGGGAGACAGTTGTCCAGCTAAGGAGCTGTTGGGGAAGATGATGAGAAATCTGATCTGATCACTCTCCTGTTGATGACCTACGTATAACAAGGTCTAAGCTCCTAGGCCTGTCATGCAAAGCTTCATGATCATGTTCTGGGTCTGACCTTCCTTCCAAGTCTCAGCTCCTTCCACTGACTCCACCTCTCGTGCCCACCATGCTGCACTCCAAGAACATGGCCAGCTATCCCCAGATCTGCACCTTCTACAAGAAATTGTTCCTATTTGGAGTGCCCTTCTCACTCTTCTTCACCTCATAAATTCCCTCATCCTTTGAGCCTCAGTTCAGATGCCACCTCCTCCCTGAAGCCTTCCACAGCCCTTAGACAGAGCTCCATCCCCCCACCCTTGATGCTTCTAGCAGATCTTGCTCATCCTTTGTCGTGACACCTATGACACTGTGTTGTAATTATTTATACTTATCTCCCTTCACTGTATCTGGAGCTCCCCCAAGAGAAGGGGCCGTTTCACTCAGCTCAGAGTTTCAGCACCCTGGACAGGACCTGGCTTGCAGCAGGTGCCCAAAAAATGCCAGATAAATGAACAAATGGATGAATAGGTTACCAGCGCCTTCTTAAAGCTAAGCCTGGAGGTTGACCTTTAAATGAACAAAGCTCTTGATGGCCTGAAGAGCAAAGAACAAACTGAAGACCCAGAGGGGTTTAATGTAGAGGTCACAAGCTGGCAGCCACGGGGCCACAGTAGCTTGCAGAGCAATGATGAGCGCAGTGTTTAAAATGGGCTATGCTGACTGCTAGTTTATGTCTCATAAAAACGTAGATTTCTGGGCAGGCGCGGTGGCTCACGCCTGTAATCCCAGCACTTTGGGAGGCCAAGGCGGGTGGATCACCTGAGGTCAGGAGTTTGAGACCACCAGTCTGGCCAACATGGCAAAACTCTGTCTCTACTAAAAACACAAAAAAAATAGCTGCATGTGGTGGTGCCTCAGGAGGCTGAGGCAGGAGAATCGCTTGAACTCGGAAGGCAGAGGTTGCGGTGAGCCAAGATCGCACCACTGCACTCCAGCCTGAGTAACAGAGTGAGGCTCCATCTCAAAAAAAAAAAAGAAAAAAGGCTTCTAGCTTTTCTCATGAAAACAGAGGACGTAGCAAGAGAGGGGCCTGCACGGTGAGCTTGAGCTCTCATCCCTACCTTCACCAGGGCCTGGGCTCCATGTTGCTCAAGGACTACCACTTCCACACCGCTCACAACTAGCTGCCTGGGCACTGGCCACTGTCAGCATTTGAATTAATGGCCAAGCACTTCCTCTAGACCTCTTTTTCCCACTAGAATGTGATGGTAATATCATTAGACCCTCGATTGTAGACGCTTTGAGCATTCCTGATAACGGTGGTGGCCAAGAGCTTTTCTCAGTCCAGTGACAGTCTGTGACTTTGTATATTTATGTTAGATTGATATGGGGAGTGATGGACTCCTCACTCAGATGTCCCTTCACACAGGAGGGATTTATTCCTCCAGCTCTGAGCGGAGAACTGCCTGGCCCAAAGTCAAGCCCTTCCCAGGGTGACTGGCATCCAGTGACAGAGGAACACAGGAGTGTAAAGACCTGAGACCCGGGACAAATTTGGGAATCTCATGGCAGTGTTGGCTGAGACTTCCACTGAAGCTGCATTGCAAGTTGACTTCTCCCTTCGATACTCCCGTTCCTTCTCCTCCCTTCCATGGGTATGGGTCCTAGGGATATGCTTACCCCCTTGTATGCTTACTGCTGCTCACGACAACAGGGAAGTAGATTGAGACTGTGGGCAAAGCTTCCCAAATCATGTAGAGGACTAGGCTGGATCCTGCAGAGCTGTGCTTCACTGTGTGTGTGTGTGTGTGTGTGTGTGTGTGTTGGGGGGTGTGTGTGTGTTGGGGTGTGTGTGTGTGTGTGTGTTGGTGTGTGTGTGTGTGTGTGTGTGTTGTTTAAATAAGTTTGGGAAACCATTATATAAACAACCATGAACACATTTCCTCAGCACCAAACATCTCAGAGCCTTTAATAAGTGGGTGTCATTGTGAATCCCAAGAGGAAGATGACAGTGCAGTATTTCCCAAACTTACTTGTCTTCAAACTTCTTTTCCTCCCTCTGGGGCATATTTTATGAGACTGGTGTTACAGGGAATACACTCTGGGAACTGATGTTGTAGAAAAGGAGCCGGTGCAGCCCTTGGGGCAGGGATGTAATACAGGCAGACTTGTGTTTTAACAAGACCATTCTGGTGGCCTGGGTGGGAAATGGATTGGAGGGGATGATGTTAAAGGCTGGGAGACCCCTTGGGTGGCCGGACCAATAGCCCAACAAAGGGGTGTTCGTGACCTGAATTAAGGGCAATGACGCCGGCGGGGTGGGAGAGAAAAGCAGATTCCAAGATACTCAGGTTATTTAAGATTGATCAAATGTGGAGGGTGAGGGCGACGAAGGAGTTCAAGATGATTCTAGGTTACTGCCTGGGGGATCTAGAGGGAAAAGGAGGAATTGAAAGGAAAAGGTGCAGGCTCAAAAGAGACAAACTGAGCTTGAAGTGCCACTGATTATCGTGGTAGGTGTGCAGGAAACCACTGAACAGGGGACACTAGAAGTCGGGAGAGAAGCCAGAGGCGGAGATGAATGCTCCAGAGCCAACAGCTTGTAGTTGGTCATGGAAACAGGGTGCTGGTGGAGAAAGAGGGAAGAGAGAGACACAGAGTTCCCCCCTTCCAACACACTTGTAAGCAACCACTGTACTCCCGGGAGCACTCACAAGGTACTTGCAAATTTTAGCCACGGTCTGTGGCTGGTTGTCCCAGGGCTTCCGGCTGTATGCTCTTTTTGGCAATTCCCAAGCCATGAAGCAAGAACAGCGGAACAGGGTCTTCACACATTTCTGGGAACCAACAGGAAGAAAGTATCAGAACTGTGGACAGCCGGACTGTGGTCCAGAAAAAGGGATTTTGAAAAATCAGTTTCTATTTGAAATTGTACGAGTGAAGCTGACCATTTTTAATTTTTTTAATTATTATTATTTTCTTTTTCTCTGGCCCTTGATTTAGGACCTTTTTCTTTTTTTATACATCAGCTATGACCAGAAGCTGGCCATGTTGAGGAAGAATCCTGATGTGGGCACCTTTGGAAAACAGACCTGGTGGGACATAAATAACTGTCCCCAGGATTGTTTACGACTCTGGCATGGTTAACGTAAAGGGAGGTGCGCCCACAGGGCCCGAGGGAAGGGTAGAGGGCCCAGGGCACACGCACACTCACCTGGCTCACCTTGGCGTTGCCCTCCTGCATGGTCAGCAGTAAGGGCACCAAGGTGCTGATCAGCTGCTCCTCCACGGCCTGGGTGCGTGGTGCCCGAAGCTTCTGGACCACCTTCCCATACAGGTTGATGCAGGAGGAGCGCACATCCTCTCGTGACTGGGGGAGACCAAAGGCTCAGAGAGGGTCCCTCCTCTAGGAGGCCACTCAGTACAGCTGATCCAGAGCCATTGTTCCCCTTACGCAAGACTAGGTCTGGAGCTCTCCACACTCTTCCCAGCCAGGCCCCCACTAACCTAAAAGGCGCCTGAGTGCTAAGTACGAAAATGCCTCCCTCCCCTCCCCTGCTAGGACCGGTTAAAAAAAACTGGCCAGCTGCTGTGGCTCGTGCCTATAATCCCAGCACTTTGGAAGGCCAAGGCAGGAGGATCATGTGAGTCCAGGAGTTCAAGACCAGCTTGAGCAACGTAGGGAGACCCCCCATCTCTATAAAAAATACAAAATTAGCTGGGCATGGGGGTGCATGCCCATAGTCCCAGCTACTCAAGAGGCTGAGGTGGGAAAATTGCTTGAGCCAGGGAGGTCAAGCTGGGATCTTGCCACTGTACTCCAGCCTGGGTGACAGAGCAAGACCCTGTCTCAAAAAAGAAAAAAAAAGTACCCCCTCTAGATGAACTAGTCACAATAAAATGACCCTCTCTTGGGAGACTTGATTATGAAAGAAGGGCTTCCTCTGTCAGAACCAGTTAGAATTAGGAAACTTTACAAAAAGATGTGTACCAGCTGGGACAAAGTGCCTCCCCCGTAGGCTGCCCCAACCCTGCCCAGGTCCCGATGAGGGCATAGGAGGCATTGCAGCCACCGAGGTAGTAGAGGACCCCTCTCGATTCCTCCCGCCCCTTCACTCAGAGGGATCCTCACGTCGCTGAAGAGCAGCAGCAGGATCTGCAGCATCTCCACATAGACCGTGCTGTCCATCAGCTTCCGGTCCCACCCCTTGAAGACGGCCTTGAGGTTGTGGACCGCTTCCACCACCAGCATCCCATCCACATTCTTCAGGCCCTTCACTATGGAGGGCAGGAGGGCCTGCACCTTGGCGGTCTGTAGGCAGGAACATTTGGAATGGGGCTCCTACCTGGGCTAGCAAGTAGGAGGAGACCCAGCCTCTACTTCACTGAAACGAACTTGGTGGCCCAATCCCCACCCCGAGGCCGTGGCCTATTCCACCGGCCTGGAATACCCTCACTCAACCTCTTGCTGCTCCTCGAAGCCCTCTTTGGCCTGACTGCCTCCTTGGCCAGGACCCCGAGGCCTTTTGCTGTCTACCCGCTTCCTCGGCTCTAGGTAAATGCCATGCTGGGTTGTCAGCTTTGAGTCTACATCCTGTCCTTTCATAGCAGCTGCAGCATGAGCTGCAACAGTGCCTGGTAGAGAAAAACAAAGCACTTTTGAAAATGCTAATGATGCACTGACAATCTGGGCCTCCGTTTCCTGATCTGTAAAAGAGGAGTACTTGGCTGGGCGTGTTGGCTCATGCCTATAATCCCAGCATTTTGGGAGGCCGAGGCAGGTTGATCACCTGAGGTCAGGAGTTCGAGACCAGCCTGACCGACATGGAGAAACCCTGTCTCTACTAAAAATACAAAAAATTAGCTGGGTCTGGGGCACATGCCTGTAATCCCAGCTACTTGGGAGGCTGAGGCAGGAGAATCACTTGAACCCGGGGAGGTTGTGGTGAGCCGAGATCGCTCCATTGCACGCCAGCCTAGGCAACAAGAGCAAAACACCATCTCAAAAAAGGAGTATTTGTGCCACCCTTTGCCCTTCCTATACACACTGCCTTTAGAATCATTGTGAAAAACCTAGATTTGAAATTATTCAAAAGGAATAAAATATATGGATTTTTAAAGGATATATATTTTACAGATGGGGCAACTGAGGCTGAGCTAGAAATGGTCTCTGATTTCAGTGGCAGGCTTCTGAGGGAATATGATGGACAAGCTCTGTTCTTTCTCCAGCCCGGTGTCTGGCTAGGCCAGGCTTTCCTCTAACTCCCATTCACCTTCTCAGTCCTGCGTGCCAGGATGCCCAGGCCTCGGATAGACAGCACCTTCATGATGGGGTCACGGTGGCTCAGGCCTTCTGCCATCCGTCCCAGAGAGTACTCCTCAGGGATCCGGCGCACCTGCTCCATCTGGAGGAGCTGAAGGAGTAAAGGGTCATTACTTCCCAGGCTGAGCAGGGCAGGGCAGCCCTCTGGCCTCCCATGAACTGGAAGTGTACATTGGATATCCAGGCTCAGCTCTGCCTGGAGCTTCAGACTTGGAAAGCCAACAACTAACAGATTGCTAAAAGTCTCCATCTGGTGTCCATCAGCACCATGTGGCAAAGCCGAGCATGTCACTCTCCAGCTCCGAGCCCCTGTGACTCCCTGTTGTTGCCTTTCCCATCAGGCCCCTGCCTGCCCCATGGCCTCATTCACAGCAGCATGCCCACCCTCTAGCCCACACCCTCACCACCAGCCAGCCAGCTTCCAACCAAGCTGTCCCATGTCCTGAATCACTCAGGCTGTTCCATCCCTTCTGTGCTAGCAAAATGCCCTTCTGCTGGGATGCCCACCTCTACTCTGACCCCACCACCTCGCAGGGCTCCATCCAAAACTCAGAGCCTTCAAGCTAGGCTTGAGTTTGCCCCTGGCCTCATTTAGGCTGACTGCCTCCTTCCCTGTGTCCCCTCAGTGGTCTCTGATTCCAGCTGGACTTCCTCCTGAGGTGACACCTGGAAACCTTCAGTGCCTCCATCCACCTTCCCTATCCTGGGCTTCCCCGAGGACAAAACCCGAATTGTTCCTCCCCTGGTCCCTGTTAGCTAACATCAACTCTGGTGTGGAATATGTGCTCAGGGGCTGCATGCTGCATGAGTTCAGGTCCAACAGGAAACTTGGCTCAGGCCCAGTGCAGTGGCACATGCCTGTAATCCCATCTACTCAGGAGGCTGAGGTGGGTGGGTCACTTGAGGTCTGGAGTTCAAGACTAGCCCGGGCAACATAGTGAAACCCACATCTCTACTAAAAACATAAAAATTAGCCAGGCATGGTGGCACGCTCCCCAGCTACCTGGGAGCCTGAGGCAGGAGAATCGCTTGAACCCAGGAGGTGGAGGTTGCAGTGAGCCAGGATCACACCACTGCACTCCAGCCTGGGCGACAGAGCGAGACTTCACCCCAAAAAAGAAAGAAAGAAAAGTGACCAGTCGAGGTGGCTCACACCTGTAATCCCAGCACTTTGAGAGGCTGAGGTGGGTGGATCACCTGAGGTCAGGAGTTCAAGACCAGTCCGGCCAACATGGGGAAACCCCGTCTCTATTAAAACTACAAAAATTAGCCCAGCACGGTGGCGCGTGCCTGTAATTCCAGCCACTCAGGAGGCTGAGGCATGAGAATCACTTGAACCCGGGAGGTGGAGGTTGCAGTGAGCCGAGATGGCGCCACTGCACTCCAGCCTGGTGACAGAGCAAGACTCCATCTCAAAAAAGAAAGAAACTTGGCTCCTTTCCTCCTTAGGAGTGCCCTCCTCCTGTAGTCCCCGTGGCAGGGGTAGCACTACCAGCCCCCACATCGTGCAAGCTGCACGCCGGCCTCACCTTCATCCCCCCTCCTCTCCCTCACCACCCTCCTCACCCACGGCAGCCAACAGGTCTTCGATGGCTGCTGCGTCCCCTCATAAACTCTTCTCCCCTCCATGCCCTTGCCTGACATCTCCTGTGACTGTAGAGCCCATGTGTCTGCATGTGGGAGGAAAGAGCTGGAGAGAGGCAGAGCTGGAGGAGGGGGCAGGACAGGTCACCAGGGGAGGAGGTGGAAAAGGAGGGGCTCCACCCATCCCCCCACCCTCCACCCATTTATACCACCAATATTCATGCCTGCTGTACACAGCTTCTGGGCTGGGCACTGGAGACACAGAAAACAGTCACAGAACCCTGATGGCAATTTAACTGACTCACAGAGAGCACTTCCTATGTGCCAGGCACTGTTCCAAGAGATTTATGTGAATGTCACTACCCTCATCAGAACTCTAGGACGTGGTCAATTCATCATCCCATACTACAAGTGGGGAAACCGAGGCACAGGTAGGTTAAGTGACTTGCCCAAGATAGCACAGCTCCCTTGAGGAGTTTACCCACTGGTGGGAGAAGCGAGCACACACACACCATCACAGCAGAGAGGGCGACAGGGAGCTGGAGCAGGGCTGGGGGGTGGGGGCAGGGTCTCAGCTACATCAAAGCACCATGGCTTTGATGGTGGGGCTGACTCTGGCCAGGAACAGGCAACTCTTCTGGGGAGGTGGAGAAGACTGAACCTGGGCGAAGACCCTTGCTGCAGGGAGGAAGGGCCACTGCTCGGGAGTCCAAGGAGTGCTGGCGACAAGTTAAACCTAGAGTTCCTGACCTTGCGGTGGACACAGGAATTCCCCATAAGGCCTGGCAAGATCCAACCTCCCTCTTTTCCCGCAAGAACGTATGTGGCAGCCACTAACAGACTTAGAAATACCTCTCCCAAGAGGCTGACCAAAATAGAAGACCATGTCAGGCAGGCTTGTTCTGAATTTCTCTGGACTCTCTGAGCTCTGTGACCTTGAAAAACTACGCCTTAACTCACCTAAGCATGAGTGTCACGATTCCTTCTCTGTGGAGTTGATGTGCATATTAGTGAGATAACATTTGAAAGAGCCAGAAGTGTTTGACACATAGTAGGCCTGTAAGAAATGGAGACTTCCCTTTCTTTTTCCCTCATCATGGTCAGGGAAATTGGAGTTAGAACTGGGTGGAGCTGGGGCTGGAACCCAGGACTCCCAATTTCAAGGCTGGGTTTGTTCTCCCTGGAGGTGACACGTTTTGCTGGTACCTGCAGGGCCAGGCAGTGTTTATTCAGGCACTCATTCATCCATCCCATTCCCACCTCTTGGGGCCCTCCTAAAGGTGGACCTGGGGATGCAATGCCAACATGACATGGTCCCTTCTCCCAACTCACAGCCCACCTGCAGAGGCAGAAAAGATGACAACAGTACCTAGGATGCCCATGCTGCCTCCTGTTGATTTGGCGAACTTTACTTACCTGTTAAGGCTCAGCTTAAATGTCACCTCCTCCAGGAAGCCTTCCTTAACTTTCACACTATCAAAGCAGACAGTGAGACTCCTGCCTCTGAGTCTCACTATACAGGCCCTGGTGATAGCCCAGACCTGCCTCATGACAACCATCAGGTCACAAGAACTACGCAAGCTAAAAAAGCAGGTTTTTCACTGTCAGTCAACAGACAAACGGATAAACAAAATGTGGCATGTACATGCAATGAAATATTATTCAGCCTTAAAAGTAAGGAAATTTTGGCCAGGCATGGCGGCTCACACCTGTAATCCCAGCACTTTGGGAGGCCGAGGCAGGCAGATCATTTGAGGTCAGGAGTTCAAGACAAGCCTGGCCAACATGTGGAAACCCCATCTCTACTAAAAATACAAAAATTAGCCAAACATGGTGGCGCTTGCCTGCACCCCAGCTACTCGGGAGGCTGAGACAGAAGAATTGCTTGAATCTGGGAGGTGGAAGTTGCAGTGGGCCGAGATCCCGCCACTGCACTCCAGCCTGAGCAACAGAGCAAGACTCCATCTCAAAAAAAGAGTAAGAAAATTCTGACACATGCAACAACATAGATAAATCTTGAAGACATTATGTTTAGGGAAACAGCCAGACACAAAAGGACAAATACTGTATGCTTTCATTTCTGTAAGATACCTAGAATAGGCAAATTTGTAGAGGTAGAGAGTGGAATAGAGGTTACTAGGGGCTGGGGGAGGTGGAACGGGGAGTTTGTGTTTAGTGGGTGTAGAGTTTCAGTGGTGAAAGATACAGAAGTTCTGGAGATGGATGGCGGTGATGGCTGCATAAGAATATGAATGTATTGCCGGGCGCGGTGGCTCAAGCCTGTAATCCCAGCACTTTGGGAGGCCGAGGCGGGTGGATCACGAGGTCAAGAGATCGAGACGATCCTGGTCAACATGGTGAAACCCCGTCTCTACTAAAAATACAAAAAATTAGCTGGGCATGGTGGCACGTGCCTGTAGTCCTAGCTACTCAGGAGGCTAA